TGTGACATCTTAAAACGGACAAAGGTATATACATAGGGTATATAACAGAGTAATAATAATAATAATAATAATTTATTCTCAAATAACAGTTTGTTACATGAGGCATGCCAGTTTACAGGCAAGATCAAATAAAAAAAAATGATACAATATACACTGTATTAAATTACATAGCTGGGTTGAAAATTTATAAGACATGAATGTAGATTGTTTTAATCAGTACTATAGTTGGCGCGCTTCACGAGAGTTGCGTTGCGAATGTGCGACTGACGGTCAAGAATAGGTCCATTGAAGGTATGAGCTTCTAGAAATCGCAACCTTATGTCCCTTTGGGATATCCAAGGCTTTAAGGATGGTGCAGGATGAAGTAACCTGTTCCATATCTCAAGGGGGCTGAAAGAGGGAGGAAGTAAAAGAAAACACGAGAGGCAGAGTAGCCAATATTCATGTAGGAATGTTTAAGGTATGATTACTCAGTCTAATTTTCTTTTATTAAGGTATTTGTTAAGAAAGAGCATTTTAATAGGTTAAAGAAAATAAGCTTTAGCAAGGTGTGAGTGGACATACAACTGACAAATGGAGGCGATTCGGAAAAGAGCTGAGAGTATAAGATTATGTGTGATTATAAAATAAAATATAGTGCTAGAAACAGTATTGTGATATACAACTGGCTATCTTCCTTTTATTATCGAAGCTATTAGAGCCCCTTTCGTTTTTTTTAAGGTTTTATAGGGTCTTGAGTAGGCTTCGTATATTAGCGAATTGTCTAGTTTGCTTGTAATAGGATTTCTGAGTAGGAAGTGAAACCAATTCAACGTTCGTAACACGATTTAAAGAGGTATTTTGCGTGATAAATCAGCTTCAATACCTTAAGTCCGTGACATCCCACTAAACCATAAGGAGCCGTAATTAAACAAAATGTTCTGCCCTACAGACATGGGTGGATTGAAGTTATCTCCCCACCTTCATGTTTGCTGGTCAGTAACGCCACCCTCCCTCCTTTTGTGATGTTAGGCTCTCTTACGTTTGTGGTAAGTATGATTAATGCTTTAATCAAAGTACATAGTTGGAATACACTGTCTCTACTAGGTCCATGTTACAAGCAAATCAGATATTTAAGAATTCTGTTTTATGGGTTAGACGTCCATATAGTATATCACACTGCTATGAAAATAACTAATGGTTTAAAGAAGTAAGGATTAATAGTAAATCAAAAGATATGAGAGGGTATAAAATTGTAAAAAAAAAGAAAAAGACTTTAGGGTAAAAAAAATAAAACATTGAGAAACTCACAAGACTTTGTGGCCAAATTTTGAGCTTTGAATGATCGGCCTTAGTAGATCAGCATCCATAAGATTGAGCTATCTGTCTACTTGCAGTAGAAAAAAAACATGACTTTTAGGAAGAATAATGTACATTTAACCTGTAGAGATTTGGGGACTGAAAGCTAGGGTTAGGAGCATGAAGTCATGATTAATAAACAATGAATCTGCTTGAATTTCTAAACGTTAGCCACGTAGAAGCTACAATAAGTCCAGAGAGCTCAAGGCCATCTAGTAGTACCCTACATTAAACTCTATCACTATTGGAGAGGTTTTCCAAACTCATTAATGTGCTTTCAGTTGCAAACAAATTTAACAACTTGGCTGTTTTACCTGCCAGTTAGTAGAATAAATGACAGTTGTTCATGACGGTCAGTGTTGACAGTGAACAGTAAAGCTAAGTTACAGAACGTTCCTTCATTAAAACTGAGAAAGTGAGAAGCGTTGCTAGATAGATCAATAGCGATCTGCTAACTTGATGAAGCCATCAACGGATGAATTGATCAAACTTTTTGCAGATATTAAGCCGTTCTGCGAGGCTACTTAAGTTGCTTAATGCATCGAAATCCTAAGCACGTATGCTGATGTGCTTTTTTCACAGTCTGTAGCAAGAGTAGTGAGAAATTTAAAAGGTGTTATAATTGAAATTCATTCATTATGAATATAAACTCGGTTTAAATCACCAACCACTGAAAATGACTGATATATCAAATCTGATATTAATTCATAACTTTGGGTTAATATCAAAGTACATAAGTAATATTTGAGAAGTCAGTTCCTCCAAAACTAACAATTTTGTGACAAAGAGACTGTATGATACTCGTACTTCTTGTCCAGCCAGTTGCTATCAGATTACATTGATATATATATATATATATTAAACCGTTATGAGTAACAAGGTGAAGCCTGTTGACCTGATAAAAAACACGAAAATGTTTCATTATTGGACGGAGAAAAATTAAAGGTGTAATAAACGCAAATAATAAAGGAGCAAAAAATTTTCGGATTACATTTTTTTCGATGTTGTGGGACATTTTTATCGGTTCATGTCCGCATTTATTAATTGCTTATAAAATTGCCTGTATTCTCTCACAGTTGTTATGTATTTAGTCAGTCATTTCTAGAGCTTATAACGTGGCCTATGACAGTGCTCAAATGTGTGGATAGCACACACATCGTTCTTCAAAAAGCAAAGGACGCGTCGCTTAATCCTAGTCAGTCGGAGAAGTATGGTCTGTACAGATGACCAGTTAATAGTGTCAACTGAGCTAGTAAGCTATGAGTACTAATCAGTATTACAATACCAGTATACATGTGAGCATTAACCAAAGGACTTATAGAATAATGTTTTAAGACAAGTAAAAATCGATCAAGAAAGTTAAGTACCTGAACCACTTAAAGTATCCTCAACAAGATGGGATGAGATATCTATTTGCTAGGATGACAATTTTTTTCTAATATCCTGAAATTACGCAGCAACGTAATCAGAAAGTAATAGTAACCCCTAATAAAGGTCGAATAATAAATGCACAGTAAAATAAGATCGAGAAAAGCAAAGCAGCGATTACGCGAGTTTTTACTAGACTTTAAACCAGAGATAACAATATCGTCTGGCGAAACACTATGATGAGATTGTCATGTCACTTTTTGTTACAGGCAATATGGGATGCCAAAGTATGGAAAAGATAAATAAATGATGTGGTAGTGAACTAATTTCGTCATTAAAGTCGGCAAATCTACATTTTCTGCAAATTACATGCCCAGATTACATTGTTGACTGATCATCAACCTAATTCGTTCAAACTTACTGGCCAACCGACCATCTTAAATAGTATGTGAGATTTAGGTTCTGTGGATGGCGTTCAACAAGAGGTTCTTCCGCAGTCTTGTTTTTCTGCTTGCGTCAACACAGCAGTCATGATTCTCTGTAGCATGTTTCAGGTGGCAATTACTAAACGGTCACAGTTAACAGAAGCAGTCATCAGAACTTGATTCAAGTCACAGAACTGAAAACTGGGTCTTGTTTTAGGCTATTACATAGAGGTTACCTTGGTTAAACTTCAACGTAAAGGTTTAGCCAAAAAAAGGCGAATCAAAAAGTGATTACACAAGTACTGAATGATAGATAGAATATCAAAACTAAATGTTGAAATGAGAATTTTCACTATCAAAAATAGAGACAAAAGTTTAGGAAAGGATCGTTATGCAATCAAATAGGACAAATTAATTGGATTTTCAAAACATTTATTTTGCTGCACATTACCACAAAGTTTGAAACAAACACTTGAGTGATCGAGAATTTATTTTGTATTGAACTGTGAAGGTTATTCTAAAAGACTTCAGCGCTCGTTACTTTAAAGACCAACAGGTTATGTCCTTGGACTTTTACACGTGTCAAGATGTTACAAACACTCAGAGCTTGAAAGCGCTGTTGTGCGTAACCCATTTATTATCGAGGCTCCATAACTCAGTCAGACCGGAAGCCAGGAAACAAAGGCTTATAAGATATATTAGGAAGATGGTTTATACGTAGGGGGGTATTTACCACTTCAAAAGATTCTATTTGCTGGTGACACTAAGATATCACACATTATTTGTGTCACAAAATATTTCATCGAATCCAAAGACACGGTGTCGGTTTTACATGAGAGGAATATGGTGACAAATGATAGGAAATGTGTGATGCTTTATACCTTTCCTTTAATAAACTGAAGCTGAATTATATGCATTCAAGCTAATGTAACCTACACATTAGCATGGAAATCAAGGACGCACGACTCCATTAACGACATGGCAATTGTAAACTATGTTTACTTCACTAAGTAAACTTAGCATCGAGTAAGGGTATTTTGACTGTATTTATCAAAGCCATTATTTGACAAGAAATTAAAATAGCTCAGAAATAAGGGTCCAGATAGAAGGGAATGTTTTATGTCAGTTCATGGTGTTGTCCTTTGCAGACTTCTGACAAAGCACCCGTAGCTGTAATTAAATCCCCAATGTAAATAGTTGCGTGAGTACTCAACATTTAATACTGGACTCACTACTTTTAATTAACTCACCTAACTGAAGGCGCTCAGTCGCGCATATGCACCAGAACTTGAGTAAGTACGTCGTATTTCACATCTCCTACGACTGCTAGCCAACTTAGATTGATCACTTCTCGATATATCTATAATCTATCAAATATATCTTGAAACATTTCTGAATTTTGATTTGACTAGGTTGGTATATTTCGGTTATAGAGGGCGTTGCTGGTTAAGAAACTGTCAAACTAAAAATACTTGTGGCCTTCTTACACATATATCTTGTAGTATTCATTAAAACTAACGACATTGAGTGTGCGAAAGATGACTTACTTCTGTGGGTTACTCACCGTTACATTTTTCCGAGGACTTAGAAGTACATTTTATTCTATGGCTTCGATAAATCATTCATAAAGAGACTATGACTGTGTCTAATTTGTCACATGAAATTGACAAATCCATATGGTGCAATGTATAGTGTAGTGTGAATTCGAACTTATAAGTTGATATAAAGATATGGGTCATCTAGATGAATAAATCCAGTTGCACAGTATGTCAAACAGAACATGAGCAGTTACAATCCAAGCAAAATGATGTAATATTACTTCTTATCGGTTTTAAACTGCCTTGAATGTCGTTCATAGTGGACATAGAATAGCGCGGCTTTAAAACGTGTCGCATCTAGCTCATTTGAAATACGCACTGGTTCCAGCGATCAGGTTGTCTAAGCCTTACGCTTATAAATTTGCTAATTGCTCTTGATTTCTCTCATAATTGAATGTAAGTGCATTTTCAGTCGTTGGCTCACTTTATTTCGTTGTTTTCTCTTCCAAAATTTCTCACTTTAATATAGTAAAAGTACCTTCGTGCCAGAGGTGAATCTACTGGAGGCTTGAAGTCGCACGTATTTTGGTCACATGTTGAAGCAGAAAGAAGATGTACTTCTCATGGTTAAGCATGTCCGGTATAAGAAAGTAGATGGGACCCTGTATGTTAACTCAGGAAGAGTGGCTTGGCGTAACCAAACATCTGATAGTTTTCGCATCAGTGCGAAATTTGAAGATATTAGAATACAGCGTATTAGTCCGGACCAAAAGGAAAAAGTTCAACTCCAGTTATTAATGCATAGTGGGGAGTCTTTCACTTTCCAGTTTTCGGATCCTGGAGGCAGGGAGAAGCAGCTTGAAATGCGTAACAACGTGAAAGCAATGCTACAAAACTTGCTACCCAAATTTAAAGACAAGGTTCGTTTGGTTTCCGTAGTGTGCCTTTTTTCTAGATCCTGGTACAATAATTAGTAGCTTCAATAACCATGGTTCCTCAATCCCTCATTACATGTTACTTGGTTTACTATAGATCCGACAGTTTAGTTCAGATATAGATTTCACCCTTTTAAACATTGTGAAAACCAGTCTCACTTCTACGGAAGTTATTGTGTCACTATTTATCCTTGTTAAAGACTATGAATGAAAAAATTCTATAGTTGAATCGTGGGAATCTTTGCTGTCAGTTTATGATTCGTTGTAGAATACGTTGTCAGCACTAGAATAGTTCTATCTAATGTGAAGTTAATTTAAAGTCTGGAAGTCAAGGACTTCAAATGGTATAATTCACCATAGTAAATTGGAGTTTGTCAAAGAAAGGATTCACCAAACATATCTTAGTTGTTTGCTTTGGGTTTGAAATGTGTGGACAGAATATAGTTGGTGAAGCGATCGATTACCTTTCTAGTAATTCTTTTGTTTCTAGCATTAACTGATTAGCAAGTGTCAGCTAACTCACCAAATCGGCCTAAAGTTGCTAGATTTTTTATTTCCCGCTGTCAGCATTAATATTGATATCTGAAGGAACTCATTTAGTCTTAACTGCTACTCACCAATCATGGCTTAGAAAAACACAACAGCTAATAAATAACGTGATTACAAATTACTGATTGTTTGTTAGGCTAATAAAGGTCCCTTGCAACACATGTGAACCGCCACTTATATCAAGTTATCAACTACTCATCTCATAAGAAACACCTATCAAGTGTATGCTGCAAACTCCACCAGTAGTCTACAATTTCACATGGTGATTCTGTCTTCTAGGACATATTGTGGTTTATCTAATTTCCAGGATCAGTGTCCGTATGTGCTGAGCATATCTTGTCTAATTCATCTGATAGTAAGTCTATAACAACTTAACTATTTTGCTGAAATCTATACTGAACTTCGGAATTCTTCAAAAGTCCTAATACTTATAAACATGAGTCTCAACATTTGAAGAATGTTTTCCACCTAACTCCACTGGCCGTTTGATATACGTACAGTAGTATAGAACAATTCACTCCTGAGACCGGCTGATTTGTCCATATATGTGTTGGTTCTTTTTAAAACAGATTGTTAGGGTTTGCTGTGCAACGCGTCGCTTTAGAAGTTTTTTTAATGAGAAGTTGGAGAAATACTAACAATAATTTTCGCATGGTGAACTGGACCGGGAATCTTTAGAGTTCTGCGTGAAAGCGACTCTGGTCGACATCCCTACGTGTAAGTTGATTGGTGCCCCCGATCATCAGTAAATTTTACTTGTTGACTATACAACATCCGGTAATCCTGTTGCACAACATACATGATTAACTGCTTAACTGAAAACAAACCATGCAACAGTAATGTTACAGAGTTATCGTAATTCGAATTAACGTTATCCTCCTGTCTAGATACACTGATTCTGCATCTGGTTTTAAGGCATTTTGTTGTTAGTTCCATTCCATATCCGCGAACAAAACTTCAAGATTATTTTAAGTTAATTCGTCATAAGCTTCGTTTAAGATGATGGCTAGTTTCCTCTGGTTCAAATTGTTTCTAAGGGTTCAGTGGATTAAATCATTTCACGTCTTGAAATAAAACTGACGGATCACTATGCCATTTAAGTAGGATATTGGTTTGGTTTTCCGCAATCTGGTCGAATAGTCTAGGTAATTCGTTTTCAATTAATTAACTGTTTTGGAGTCCTCTTCGCTTCTTTGAGCTTCCATCACCGGGTGGAACATGAAATCCGGTACATATGGTTAACAAAAGTATATAAATTATGGCACCAAGAATACATCAAATAGAATAATCGTGTGAACGAATGGAGAAAAAAATATCCTGTATCGTGGACAAAAGTTGTGAATAATACTTTCCACTTATGAATATACAATAATAAAGTTTCATTTCTCCTAAAGAATATGTCGTATAGAACAGCAATAAACCCACTATACTATTTCCACTAACTTCTGATTTAAAGCGTGTGATTAAAATTCAAACCAAACTAGATGGTATGGAGCATTTCATCTAGTCATTCGTATTGCTCCAACTCATACTAACTCAACCACCTCCCAATAACATATGAATTTAACTAGTCATAGGTATCTTGGACAGTAAACAGCTGTGGTTGTTGTTACGCCGAATGGGTAACTCGGTCAAGGTTTGAAAACTGAAAATCTTGTTTCTCTAGGTTTCACTTTAAACCGGTTGTCTCCAAAAAAAGAAAGAATAAAGGAACTACTATTGTGACAGAGCTAATAAAAGTGGTGGTTGATCGTTTGGTGAACTTAATTTTTATCCTTAAATGATACTGTTTTGGCTGTTTTTCAAATGTAAATAGTGGTTTTTATTTGGTATTGTGTTTCCATACACAATCACTCGATAGATGATTATATCTTGAAATCTCGATAGGAATGTTAATTTTCTCGCACCACGTACATTATCAGTTCGACAGTATCAGCTACAAATTTATTAATTCAACACTTACAACAGGACACCAAAAAAGTATGTGGCATACAAGTGGAAAAATGGTGTTGTGAAAAAGTTTCTATGGACAAAAGATCCGCACAACCCCATGTTTTCTTCTCATAGCTGTTTCTAGAATGTCATTTATGTCAGTTGGAGAAAAGTGGTGAAAAGTAAATTCAGTCAGTTGACCCGTCATAATCATCTACATATTGACCACTTACATTTTACTGTAACTCAAAATATGAAGATGATGGTTCAAGTCTTAAAGCATGAAAATTCGTATCCATCATTTTTTACCGTTGCAATGTCATTCTTATAGTCTACTGTCAGTGTGATGCCACTGTTACCAGTGATCAAGGGTCAGTGATTACGATTCTTAACTTCTGGAAGTCCTTTAATCATTTAGACACTCAAGCTTTGACTATTCGATCGGTATGTATGACTAGTAAGTATCGATCCGAAAGGGTTCTAGATAATATGCAACAACTAAAATGGTTGTTTCGTATGTTGTCCATTTAAACTAGTGCACTATTATGGCTTGCGATGCCTCTTAGAACTGAAGTTGTTTTACCAGAGCACTTCATAAAACAAGTCTGTTAACACATCAGCTTTTAATCTAAGTGCCGACTTAAGTTTTGAAGTTAAATAACACGATCACCGATCTAGTAGGAATTAGTGACTGGAGACCTTAATTGACATGGTTCAGAATATTGGTTCACCACGGTGTATCAATTCGTTCCTCGTGTTCAAAATCGTATCTTATTTCTTATCATTTATCTTCCCTCCGTGACATGTGTCGTTCTTAATGTAAATATTTTTTCTGTTTATGTTCCATTACTCTCTGTGTGTTGTTTTTGAAGTGTTTTTAAATTGAGTAGTTTGGCGTATGGTGTTTTATTATTTTATCTATTCGTTTATTACACTGACAAGTCTAGTTTTTATAGACTCAGTATCACTCGTCGAATATCCAAAGGCCATCCTTCGCAGTCCAACTCTATTTTCGACAGATTTTATTCAGTTTTCTCATTTAAATAACTCATTTCAGTGTGTTTTATTAGTTATTACCAAGTTGTTTACGTCTTAAACATGCTTTTAAACCGGATACTTACATAGTCTCTTGTTTTCTAGGCTCAAGCCGAATTAAAGGAAAAATTTCGACTCCTCGAATCAAACCCTGAGATTTTGGCCTTATACAAAGAATTAGTTGTTAGTGGTATACTTAGCTCAGAAGAGTTTTGGGCTCGACCAGAATTTTCTCATAATAACTTTAATTCATCCCAGTGTATGAATAATTCCACAGCTAATAACAAAGCTTCTGGAACTACTGGGACATCAGAAGCAGCTCCTAACAATGCAAATATGTTATCTCATAATAATCCGTCAAATGGTCCTACTAGTCAGATTTCACGAAGTTTCCAGTTAGACGACCGGCCTCAAGTTATTGGAGTCCCCAGTTGTCTTTTGAGCGATATCAAGCCTGAAGCAGATGGTGCCAATGGAATAAAATACAACCTTACTCATGAAACAATCAATGCAATATTCCGAGCCTACCCTACTGTACGTGATAAACATCGAGAAATGGTCCCTGATAAATTATCTGAAGCTGACTTCTGGATAAAGTTTTTTCAGTCTCATTATTTCCACCGGTAAGTTTTTGTTCTTGTTAAACTTATACTTAACTCTTTAAATGTCAAGTCAGCAGTAATGGATTATTTCTTTTGTTTAATGATTTATTTACTGAAAGGCCAATAAAACCAATAAGGTGTATTGTGTAACACGAGTTGTATTTATTAAATTCAATTGATACATTTAAAAACAGTCAGCTGTCATCCAGTTTAAAAACTTCTAGGACGTTAGTAACTTTATGTGATCTAAAGACGTTCTATAAAGTAGCTGAACAAGTTTCATGCATGTGGAGAACTAGTATCCATTTCAGCAACTATTTCAATTAGTATGATAAACTTCGCCTTTCTGAAAATAGTCAGATTTATCCATGCAATAAATGTGTTTATTTGTCAATGTTTTAACGAGATTTCGCTATGCCTCTCATCATACTCAAACATAAATCAAAAGGATATTCTAAGTTGCTACTTTCATTAGCATCACACGAAATGACATAACATAAAAAAACGTTACATGTATCTGGAATAGTACGGCTGACGCATAAGAATGATCTGAGAGGCCATAGCTGAGTACGGGTACTGCCATCGGTTCGTTTGAAACACCGTTAAGGTGAGATGGAAATGTCATTTTTACCACCTCATTTAATAATTCATCGTATTATCTTCCACAACTGAAGAGTAGAATAGAAACCTATTAATATAATACACCTATCGCTGTCTCGCCCAGGGTGTTAGTGCACTGTAAACAGTTGGAGTGTGATTGCAGATGACCGAAACTGCCACACAGTATTTTTCGATGTTAACGTCAGTTGTTGCGAGATATTTATCAGCCGTGTTTTCTTTAGTCATATTCTCATCGATCATTGTGTTTTACTAACCACTTGCTTTAGTAAACCGAAATAAATGTCACAGATAATGTAACATTGATGGTCGATTGTCTTCTTGGTCTCTGTTTTTACGGCAAACTGATTACTTCAGTAAAGAAAATACAGATAAAACAGCTATTGGAGTTTTTTTTCGAAGACACCCTACTTTCGGCACATCAGTGTTCAAGCATTAACACGGCGTTATTCTTAATATTAATAGGATGTGAATGACCTGTGGCAAATTTGAGGTGTATGTGTTTTTACTGCTCTTTGATCAACATTCCTGATGGAAAAATATAAAACAAATCTCACTCAACATAGTTCAACCGGGATACCATTGAAAAAGCTAACCTAACAACCTTAGATTTTTGTCTTTCTAGATCATCCAACATTTGACTTTCGACTTCTGTAAAGCATGGCTCTCAAATTATCTGTTCTTTATGACCATCATGGTAACGGCGTTCATAATATCAGTTAACAAGTTGTATTAATGGTCGATCGGTAATATTTCACTAGTACAATCATTGTCATTTGGAATTTATGTTATTTCTAGTGCTTTTCCTGTGGTTGTGGGATAGTTCGTTCGCTTCTCATTTTACGAACGTAGCTAATTTGATGAGGCTCACTCACTAATTTTCACTTTGAAAATGCCTAAGTGTTCTGAAACCGTCTCTGATTTGTTTCATCTTTATGAACAGTCAAGTTGTAGAATATGACTACAGTTTTTCATTTTGTCACTTCTGTTACTATTATAAATGTAGGTGCTAATAAATACTTCTATTTATTTAGTGACCGTGTTCACCTTCCGAAAAATGATATATTTGCTGATTGCGCTGGTATTGATGATAAACTTTTACTCAGTGATATACGGAAATCAAGAGTCAACCGAAATAATGTCCATCTTGATTTACCTAATCTTACCGATTACGATATAGGACAAGGTTATGGAATCGATCAAATATCTGGTCCGACAAAAATAAAGTCAGCTGACTCAGTCTCGCATCAGAGTGTAGAGAATACATTGAACGAACCTGCAATCCCGAGCAATTTATCAGCAAATCAGTTGTTACTTCGTCGTTTCAACAATCATTCGATACTCGTTTTGAAATCTCTTAGTTCAAATGACGCATCTTCATCAACTAGTAATGCATCTCAAAATCCGAAAGATGTGCTTAACTCTTGTCCTTTAAAAGACCGCGTGTACGTTAAAGAGCTGGTAGAAGATCAAAATCCTACAGAAATCCAGTTAGACCTAACTTGTGTAACTGACTATCTGGAGGGTCCTACCCCTAGCATAGCTGGTAAAGCTACAAAGTTAATGGATCCGTTATCAGTTATCCGGCAAACAGATACTTCGTTTTATGGATTACAACTAGAGCAGTCAGTAAAGAAATGTAAGAATTTGATGGTAGCTGCTTATCACATGGGGAAAAAACCAGGCGTATCACTTTTAACTGCACTTGAATCTCAACAAGCATTAGCAGATGTCTCACCTGGTGGTTGTCTCATCGGTGGTAAACTTAATAGTGAACGCACGAAACCATGTGACTTAACTAGTGATCAATCATCCTTACGTTTGTTCGAACCAGGGAGAAACAGTCGTATTTCGAACTCTCCGAAAGTCTCTGATGAACACCATGCTGGTGACGATGTCGATCGTGGCCCGCCACTACTCACACCAGAACAGGTTAAAGATTTGTCACTTTTATATTCTAGTGCCGCTGAACTCTTAAGACACTTCTGGGCATGTTTCCCTGTAACAACCCCACAACTAGCTGATAAGTTGGATCGTGTTGCTGCCAGTCTCGTTCGTTTTCGTACAACCAAGGTAACCCACTTCGCCGCTGGTGTTGATCCATCGTTGAGGACTAAGTCAGACACATATTCTTCTGATTCATCTGAGCATCTACCTAACACAGGAAATCCTGGGTCTGTTTCTTACCGTTCAAGTGTGACTAGTCACCTGGAATCGATGCTGGACTCCGCTCAAAAGAAGTATTCTGAATGGAAAACTAGGCATTCGTAATAATGTAGATATCTGTACAGATCAAATTTTTAAGAATTTTGTTTGAAAGTTTCTGTCTCCATTCCTGGTAATTCACTACTCTAAATAATTAGTTTCGTGACATCATGCTAAACTGTATATATTTACTGTTCGGATATTATTTGAAAAATTAATTGACATGTTTTTCGTGACGACTTTTAGATTCCTTTGTTTTTTGGAGGTTCTTTTTATTAACTCTGGTAATGTGAATGGCGAAAATAAGTTAAGGGCAAAGTGATCCCATCACAACAAAAGAGTAAATTTTGAGATGGAATCACTTCAGTTAAGTATCTTCATATTAAAATGAGAAGTAATACCAATCTCTTACTGTTTCAGAGATTCGCAAATTATGTTGGGTAAGAGTTTTTAATGTTGTTAAGTGTACTACGATATCTTTAGTTTATTAAATCAAATATGAATAAAATATTGTTTAAATATCAAGGGGATTTTGCACCTTGTAGGTGTTACGAGAAATAACCGATTGTCAAACTTTCTCCTTCAGACACTTTTATTAGCGCTAACAAACAGGGTTATCATACTTAGGCCTTAGGGTATAAATATTCAGTGTTGAATATCAAGATAAGGTCAAGCATCGATCTAATTTTAATCCATCCATATGGTGTTCACATCTACAGACAGCTCGGACTATGGAGGGTTGTTTCTTATTATTATCAAGACATTTCGTAGTGAATAAGATATCTAATTATCTTTCTGGTCTGTATCTACAGTTTTTAAACAAGTTTGGATCACTATGGGGCACATTTGAAAGTGTGAAGAATAATAGTAATCACTGAAAATGCCCAGTTAGGTAAAGCGGATACTTAAACTTGTTTTTACTTGCATTTTGTGTTGCATACCAAATGAGATGTAAAGATAATGTTAGATGGTAGGGCTTATCTTTAGCAATAAAACGCTTCTGATGAACTGGTTATCAATACGTTTTCCACGATATTTCACTGCGTACGTATAATTTTCTCATCATTTCATTGAAAAGTTATTCGATATTAAATAAAATTAAAAATATTAAGCCACCGAAAATTGTTCAGTAAATTGAGATTTTGGTTTTTTGTATGATCCCAGCAATTTTCACAGCGCGTTTTAAATGTAAAAACGAACAAAAAATCCTGATCAAAGTCGGCTCCCCCCTTTCCGGTTGCAAGTTTTGTTAATTGTTCTTAGTATATCTTACTCAAGCGGACATGTCTCAGTTGTGGAGAAATATAAATTAGACTAGTACTTGCATTACTCATACTTCAATAGGGTTACCAGACAACTTATGAGTAAACCAGATACTGTGAATTGTTGAAAAATAACCATGTCTAGAGGGATTTCTCATCCTACCAACCACTTGGTTTTAAAGAAATTGGGAATGAGTAAACTAATATACGCTAACTTAAATTCTGATCATGAAAATACGTCTTAAGGCAATAGTGTTTTAGAATGTCTTGCATTCGACAAGCGCAGAGCGCTTCTGAATGTTCTAAATCCTGTTATCGTCATCAGCAACCTCCTTTTGTTAGTCATTTAGCGAGTCCTTATAGGGAATTTAGAGATGCTAAAGGCTTTGAGTTTGGAATAGTAGCCTGGTTCCAAATGTTTTTTCAGTCAGTTAATTATTACAAAACCAAATCCCAATTCTAGTGAATCAAGTTATTATGGGTTTTGTTGCACATAGATTAGCCTCGTTGTCCACAAGAATACAAAATATCAAGATGCAAGTCTTTCCTATGTAGTTTGCCACTTTTAACGGTCTTGGTAATGTGGGATCGGGTTGATCTGAAATATTAGAATAATACTTATCAGATTATGATTTAAGTATCTTCTACTTCATCCTTTCGTAGAACACTGTGCTTGATCACATTAAATGGCTTCGATTGTACACGTCCCCAAATATTATCGTCAAACAAGACAACCAGTGAAGCTATCAACTGTATTCGATTTTGCTAATTTTGGAATCAAGTCGTCTTATGAATGAGGTCAAAGCTCCCAACTACAGACTTGTAGATTAAAGTAAACTGCCGTTCTAAGAATCGGGATAATTTTACTGAGACAATATCACCCTTTAGTTGGGTACGTGGATGCTATATTATCCAATTAGTCTGTGTTGATCCGAAGTCTTTGCTGTTGAACACATCTCCAGAGTGAATGTCCTCCACTCATCGGCATATTTATAGTTAAATTATTGGTTGTTTTGACATCTTACCAGCAATCGCTTTGCATTCGTGAAGAGATAATAGTTCCTGACGTTAAAGTTATTTATTATATTATTGTTAAATTATATTCCACGTTTAATCTTGTCACTGTTAATTTAGAATACGGGTTTTTTATTGTCGACCGGTCGTGTTATAGCGAATCGCTATTCACTTAATTGCAACCTTTGTGTTATGGATTCTCTCATTATGACCTAGCTACCCTTATTGCTTAGTATTCTTAGACACAGCTCACTCTACAAGGTCCCAAATCAGATCACGGTTAGACAAGAGCGTAAATATACCCAAATGATAAGTTTGGATGGAAGTAGTAATCACAATGAGAATATTAGTATATTTATAATCTTGACATAAGGTGCTAGTCTTCTACAAGCATATTCTAGTGCTGATTTGTTAAGAAATAGCCGTTCGGCGAGCCCCAACAGTCCTACACGGAACGTGCATTAATCCCGCTAACAGGTCTGAGCGAGTTCGTTGGGTTTGCAACCTCACGATTGCTCTGTACTTTCAATTTGTCCACTCTTCGCTTTCACAGAAACTGGCCTATCTGCTCAAGGGGTTTTTATTTCAAAGGTATCGAACGGAACATATGGGTATCCTATTTCGGGTCTCGATACTTCTGATAGAAGTTGGTTGGCATGGCGCAAAAAAACTTCTGAGACAACTGAAACCTAACCACACTTCCTTACATTTCCGCGATCTGACCAAATATTAATGTGGGATGGTTGTCAAGATAGTCCTTAGCAAGTGTTTTTAACCAACAGTGAACAAACGTCTTTAGGCTTCATGATGTCGATTGGATCGGGCGACAGATATCTAAATGTGTTCGCATTTTTCTACCAAGTAAAATCTTTGCTAGAGAGACCGCGTTAATTGTCTAAGGACTTGGAGTAGAACGATAGACAACCAGGGTTCCCTTTAAAACCTCTCCTGTGGTACCTCTCCTTTGTCTATAATGTAGTATGGGTTCATTCGCAATTTTATTAGGTTTCCTAATTTTTTATTGTGATTTCCATTTTCTTCATTGTGGAATTCGGAATTATCTAGTCATTATTAGCATGTAAATTATTAGAATCGAAACTGGAACTATGTATCTGAAGTTTGAAAACATCTATTGTGTCAGGATTGGTTGTAGAATGATTAGAATTAAAATTGAGGTGGCTTTATTTACTTGTTGTCGCCAAGGTTACATCTCTACTGTGAATGGAGTAGTCATTTCAATCAACAATCTCTATCGTCCGATTACCCATACTCCGAATTCCAATTCCTGTGGATGTACGACAGCTATTTCTTCAGCGAAACTGTACTTTTGATGACGTTCTATTCACTAAATGACTTCGAAAGATCAGGGATTTGAAGAGCTGAACTGGACTTTTGTGGGCTCGTGAACGCCGCGTTTTACGATACTGAACTAAATTACTTGCACTTGCTGATGTAGTGGTACTGGTAAAAGTGCGGCCGATGTTTTCTGCTAAACCATTGAACTAGGGATGTCGTGGAGCCATAGGAGGTGGGCTCCATTATCAGTTACTGATACACGGCGTATCCCTTCACTACTAAATATCCTCTGCATTGCTCTTTGGCTAAACTTCTCGTGACTAAAGCCGCTAGCCATTTGCATTATTTATCAATAACTTGAAGTGTGGTGTAGTACCGCGGTTGACTATGATCACCACTACAATATGAATATGCTATCTGATCTACAGTGAAGAAGACAATATTATTTTGCTTCCATTACTTATGTTTACATAAAGTATGTATGTATGTATAATATTCATGTACTTTAAATACGTTGATATAGAGATGTCGATTAGTATTGGAAATAACAAAGAATTTAGATTTATAAAAGCAAATAGAATCGAATAAACAAAAATGTTATTGTTTACCTTTATAAAATTGAAAATAATACCAAAGCTGGATGTGAATGGGTTTTCATGAATCAGAAAAAAAGTCATAGACTTATTCCTAAAAACAAAAGTGTTGATCATGTTTCAAATACCAGGAAAAATTTTGGATTGATTATTGAACCGAAAAGTAGGTAGAAAGTGTTAACTAAATTCATAATGATCTTCCTGAGGTTAAATAGAACCAGTAGAAGAATTATTGACTACCATGTTTTTCACAATAAAATTCTCAGTATTCCAGAAAGTGAATCATGATGAGATGAAATTCAACGTATGACAATTTTAAGATCTGTTAGGTTAATGAGATTATTTACCGTACTAGTATTAATTACTCAATTTTATCTAGTCCAAGTAATGTATATTTAAAATTCTGTGACAAACGTGTAGCAATCGTTTCACTGGTCATTTACCATAGGTACAGTTTGCATACGATCTGTAATTGTAACGGGTCTGTCAAGAGATTCATCTACTTTGTTAAGTGACATAGCTTCGCACTAATCTTCTTATGATAATTGGGAAACACGTGTATTTAGTAATTTATTATCAAACTTAACAATACAGATTATAAATGGATTTTCAAACTACTTCGGCCAGTAAAATATTTGTTAAACTGACATCGTAGATTGGGATGGATTCATTACGGTTTTTTATGGTTCGGCTTTTCACATATTTAATACAAATTGATTGAAGTTGAGAATCTGTCTCATTGGAAGCTAACCTAGTAGTTCAATTGTTAGGCGACCACCATGGAGGGGTCGCGCGTGGGCACTGCCGAAAAACGCGAATATTAAGAGGATATAGTCATCCAACCCACTATAGTTTTCAACAGTACCTGAAACGAGGCTAATCTGGGACAAATTCCTACATAAGTATTAACTTGTATGGAGTGTCCATCTTGTAAAAATGTCTATAAAAACAATTTCGACCTGTTTAGGATCGTAATAATAAATATAGAGTATGATGCAATTAATTACATAGAATATCCGTTACCGCTATTAGTTTAGTAAACGAAATTGTAAAACGAATCACTAGGAGTGGAATGTTCACAATAATAATAATAATTCTTCATGTACAAATAAAACCTTCGGTGATCAAGTTGTAGAGATCAGAAATTCAATAAAATTATTATCGCAACTGGATAGAACGAGGAATGTGTTATCAAAAAAGACATCTACGCATTTATTTAACATTTTCTAAACAGAAGATTTATAAAATCACATTTGGGATCTGACGTCACATGGTCTGGTGTACTTCTCAGGAAATTATATCCAGATAGTCAGTTATATAAATTGCACGGAATTAGTCTACGCCGTCTGTGAAGTTTACTGTATTATTCTGTGGCATCGAGTCGCGATTGACTATGATCACCACTACAAGAAGACTACGTGCCAGTTAACCGATAAGATCCCCCGTAGGCCAAATATCAGAAGGCAGTTGATGGCTGTAGTCGAGATGTATTTGTTGGCGATCTCGTAGTATCTAAAGAATACCGAGATCGTGCCAGGCTACAAGTGTGGTTACTGAGCGTGACCGAATTCGTGCAGGATCACAATCAACGGAAGAATGTATGTATTTTGGTACAGTTAAACAAGTACGGTAAAACAATCCCTGGTACAATTGGTTATAATAATAATTGTTTCCATTACACCAATCGCGTTCTCTTGATAAAAGTAGGTCACTACAAGCTAAAGATCAAAACTAGTTATCTGAGTGAATACGTCGTTAAAACCAGTAAGATTCAGGCCCATGTTTCCAGGTAGATATTTTATACATTAGATTATGTAAACAAACGGGACACTTGTCCCACTTTCAATTCACATAAACGTTAATCTGAAACCGCTTACAAGTCTAACGAGCAAATGACTTTATTTTCTCTTCTCCAAGATGGGCGGAGTTCATTTGGTACTTCATATCTAAGTATAAGAGAGGTGAGCACTTTGCCACATAATCACAAACATTTTAGGGATTTCGTGATATGTCTTCTTTCGTTTTGTGAAACTCAAGAAATTTGCGCTTGCTTTGAACATTTCAACCTGTTTACATAGCACTCATGTTAGTTGCGAAACCCGTACGAGTATCCTTCGCGAGGTTTACTATATCAACAGATTATGGTTGAACCAGAATACAAACGTTTAGTTAGGTGGTCTTGGCAGCGGATGACCGATTACTTGACATAGTTGGTTGATGAATAAACCTTAATCCACAGTACTCAGTTACCATATAGAATTTCACACCAAGCAAGTATTTATGCAGTCCTTTTACTACCCACATCACAGCGAAAGTCTTTAGGGCCTGGGAATATCCTTGTTCACTTTTCTTAACCATCTAAAAATAAAAATACCAGGTTTTCCATTTACCCATTCTGTAATGAATGTAACCGAAGTTTAAATTCACTACTAACAGATAATTCAGAGTCTGAGTTCAGTTCTGTTGCATTACTACCATCCACCAAGCCGAAGGAACTACTCCACTGCTTCACAAACTCGTAAACGCTATATGCTCGAAGTAATTCCGCCATCCAGACTTGATCATCTTAACTCCAATAATCTATATACATTGAATTTATTCAAAGAAAGTGTCTCTAAATTTACAAGCATTAGTGCCACTCACAATCACAAGGTTTATCAAAGCTACTTTAACTTCAAGACCCAACTGATTATTTATTTCTTGATATACGAGTGGTGTATAGGGACCGTTATCCAGAAGCACATAAGTTTCCAAACTTCCTTCGGAACCACATAGCTTGATCGGAGGCTGCAACAGCTGCCATGGCCTTTCCTCCATTCTGGATAAACCAATATTATTCACAACAGTGTGTAATTTATTCTTAACCTCAGCGACTCATTTTCCTTCTGTAGTTCTGAGTGGTTCTTCCAGCGAACATTACAATCAGTATTACACAACAACCACCTTTCTACCATGGTATTTGCTTCACCATTATTTGTAGGTCACTGGTCATCTTCCTCCGACACTTTGAACTTTGATTCAGCTGGCTCAACCGCATCCATCAAATTTAACGATTTTCAATATGTCAGTTTTTATTCATTTGATGACTTTGGTCCCACCTGCAACAACAACGATGAATTGGATTATTCAATATACCTTTTTTTATTATGCGCATTATGTTCCTTGGAGTTGTAAAGGGTGATCAGGTTGTAGCGGTAAATAAATCCCCAAAATAAAATGCTCTGTACGTTTTCGACATT